AGACTTTAAGTATCCCTTTTAGTTTTAAATCTATAATTTTATGAATTTAAAAAAAGCTAACCAAATAAATATCCTGAATTCTGTCTCTATTAAAATCACCACCACCACCACCATTTTTATCATCGTCATCATCATCATCATCATCATCTTGGTCCAGTTTTCCTACATAAAGATTTCTAATTTAATTCATACAATCTTATCCTTCCAATTCAAATCATGGTAGTGTTGCATAGTGGATAGAGAGCTGGATTTGAAGCCATTAAGAGCAGAGCTCCAATCCCATTCTCTGATACATACTGGTATTGTGACCCTGGATAAGTCACTTAATCTGTAAGTGATCTAAAAAAAATCTGTACAATTCTGAGTTACGAAGAAAGTACTGATTAGCCTTGGGAGTAGAAGTTCCTCCAAATGTTCACTTAGACCAATGAAATCACAGGTCCAAGCCTTGGTCAACCCAAAGGATTGTGCATCATTGCCAAGATAATCCCTTCACATAGATAGATTTGATAATGCTAGAGTTCTAAAGCCTTCAAGGACTCCTCATTACCCATAGAATCCAATATGGATCCTTTTCTTTGGCATGTAGGCCCTTCATAATATGGCTTCAATTGACTTATTTCTTCTAACTCTATATCATTGATCCTGCATTGTCATCCTACCTTGCCAGCTTCATTTCACACAATTTTATTTTCCACTTTCTATGTTACAGGCAAATTATATTAGTAAAGGTTTTCTTTCTCTTATTTCCTTTACCTACCTTTCTGTATTCTTGTAGAACATCTTGACACTTAACCTTCAGTTTCCTCATCTCTAAAATAAGGAATTTGGGCCTGATTGTCTCTAAAGTTCTTTGAGGCCCCATGCAAAGAGTGCATTTCATCCTCCTTTTGCTTTGTGGGAAGTTTTCCCTACCATCTCTTTCAGGAAGATTTCCTTGATTCCAGTCCTTAGCCCCCTAAGTCTCCTCTCTCACCTAAAATTTTCCTACAGAAAATTTTCTGTATTTTTTTGTGCCTTAGGATCCTTTTCTCCATGCTTTTTCACATTTATTTGACATCATGTTTAATCTCTTATTATATTACTATTACTAGTATGTAATAGTATGACTACTATTAGATTGCAACTTTCTACATTTTAGGGATTATGCAATTTTTTTCCCTATGCCTTGAACAACACAGACACTCATGAATTTTTTTCCCTTAAGAATTTAAAAAATCAAATTGAATTTCTAGAATTGGGATCTACTAGATTCCTCCTCTTTCCCATTTGACTACCTTTTTATTTCCCTTAATTCCCTTTCTTCTGTTACCTCCAATTGATCTTGTCTATATCTTGTTTGTACATAGATGTTTATGTATTGTCTCCCCTTGCTTCTTAAGAGTGAGGCCTATCTTTTGCCTTTTTTTTTTTAATTCCCAGAGCTTTGCACAGTGCCTAATATGAAATAGATGTGGAAAATGCTTGTTGACTAACCTAGACTTAAATGACTTGTCAAGGATCACATAGCTAGTAAGCATTTGAAGCCAGATTTAAACTAGGAAAGTTGAGTCTTCCTGACTTTAAGCAGAGAACTCTGTGCACTGTGGTGCCTCTAGCTGCCCTCCATAAAATCCTCTAGGTCAGGAATTATTTTCTTTTTTTTTTTACCAGAGCTATAACCAGGGTCACACATTCACTCTTCTTGTTTATAAGTGAGGCATCATGGCATGCTGAATGGAGAGCTAGCCTTAGTCTCAGGAAGACTTGAGTTCAAGTCCCATCCCTGATCTATACTGGCTTTGTGACCTTTGATAAGTCACTTAACTTTTCATTGGTCTAGGTAATTGTATTATAAGTTGCAGAGCAAGTACCATTCTGTATTACTAGACAAAGTTCCTCATTGGCAAATTCTCTTATACTAATTAAATCATTTATCCAGTAAAACACACTCATGTATCTCTATGCATACATATGTACATACATATGTATATACATATACATACACACATACATATGTATTCATATATATATATATATAAAATCAGCATTACAATATTTTTCAAAATCATCAACCAAAATCTTCCTAGCAATTTGAGCTGCCCCACACTGGAAAGGTTTACCTTGGGATGCAATTGGGTTCCCCATCATTGCAATTCTTCTAAAGAAGGCTAGATGGTCACTTTTAGGATGTGGTATAGAGGTGATTTTTAAAGTTATTTTTTATTTTTTTTTAAAGTAGAGGTTGGATTATATGGGTTATGAGATCTGTGGCTCTGAGAGTCTGTTATTTTGTGGAAATGCTTGCCTTTGCAAGCAATACTATAAGGCCCTGGGCAAAACTAGATAATCAGGCCTAGGTCTTATACTGTAAGGGTTAATAGTTAAGGGAAGATAATTTCCATACAGGTTTAGATATTCCAATCAATAAATGATGTGTTTACATTCTATGTAAAGGTAAGAGTTGTACTTTAAGGTGAATTTCTATATTCCCAGTTCTTCTCTACTCTTCTCTGCTTAACATTTCAAAGTAGAAATGAATAGAAGCAAGCTTTCTTGGTTTCATTTTGTTCCTCGAAATGGTTTAGCCCAGCTCTAGCTACTTCGTGCAGGTGCTCTCCTTCTTCTTTTCTGTTCTCTTCCCTTCTGTTCTCTTCTGTTCTCTTGTCTTCTCTTCTCTTGTCTTTTCTTCTCTTCTCTTGTCTTCTCTTCTGTTCTCTTCCTTTCTGTTCTCTTCTGCTCTGTTCTCTTCTGTTCTCTTCTCTTCTGTTCTGTTCTGTTCTCTTCCTTTCTGTTCTCTTCTGTTCTCTTCCATTCTCTTCTGTTCTCTTCCTTTCTGTTCTCCTTTGTTCTCTTCCTTTCTGTTCTCTTTTCTTCCCTTTCTTTCTCTCTCTCTCTTACATACACATCCACATAAATTCTATGCAAAGCAGTTTTCATGTTGGACCAAGGTACACAGGACCTGCCGGACCTAATGCCAACCTCTCAATGCAAAACATACATTCTCTCAATGATTGAGCAGAAGGAGTTAATGCAAACAAAATGTTCCCTTCTTTACTATCCTAGCAGTTCACATCTGTTAGGCCACCATCAGTATTATTGAATCATAGCCACTTCTCATTGAGAGAACCATCTAGAGCAGAGAAATCTTTTCTCCATCTTATTTTGTGTCATCATTTTTATTGTTGTTTAGTTTTTCAGTCATGGCCAACTCTTCTTGGCCCTGTATGGGGTTTGCTCGTCAAAGATACTTGAGTGGTTTGCATTTCTTTCTCCAGTGGGTTAGGCAAACAGAGGTTAAATGACTTGCCCAGTGTCACACAACTAGTGAACATTTGAGGCCAGATTTGAACGCAGGTCTTCCTGATGCCAGGACCAATGCTCTATCCCCTAACTCACCCAGTTACATTTTCAAAAATGACATGCACTTTGAGATTCTCTAAGTTTAATTTAATGTTCAAAACACCAGAAGAACTTGAGGAAACCTGGCTTAGTAGATAAGGTACTGACTTGGAGACAAGAAGGAATCAATTTATTAATTATTGAGTAAACTGATGAAAAAGAAATATTGATGATTTGGTTTTTGCCAGACACCATGCTGAACATTGGAAGTGGAGATGAAAATGTAAGGGGCAAGACAGTCTCTGCCTGCAAAGAGCTTACATTATAAGGGAAAACAAGTCACATCAATGAGTGGCATCTACAGAGGATATTTTTGTCTAGAAACCCTGAGGAATAATGAATGAAGTCATGAAGGTTGTTTAATATGGCCTTTCCAAAATGTAGAATTGATAGGCTGGCAGTTTTGTTTTGATTATTATTCTTAGAGCAAGAAATGAAAATCATGGTAGTGGAGGTGGGTTGAGCTGTGAAATTGCTGGGGGGAGGGTAAGGTGAGGTGGTACTGCATGAAAATGGGTGAATTACATCATAGTATGACTGGTGATCCAAGGCATTGTAAACTCTCACCAATCAGGAGCATCCAGTCCTAGGGTGGGAGCTAGAAGGAAGTGTTGAAGACCAAGGTGGAGTATTAGACATGCAAGGTGATAAAGCTGGAGTGAAAAAGACTTGTGATTAAGTCCTGCCCATGACACATAGTGGCTGTGTGACCCTAGGGAAGTCTCCTAACTATTCTATTCCCCTAACCAACTTGCTAAATGAGAAACTATAGAGAATTTTGAGGAAATCTTCATCAGTGAAACAAGTTTCCAAATTGGGAATTTCCTGCACTGATAAAAACCATGTGCAGGAAGTAGAAATGACAACAGCAACATTTACATAGCACTTACTATGTAAGAAGCACAGTGCTGAGCACTTTGATTCCCCACGATAACCTTGAGTGGTAGGTACTATTATTATCCTCATTTTACAGGGGAAGAAACTGAGGTAGGTAGGTTTCAATGCTAGTAAATTCCCGAAGCCAGATTTGAACTCAGGTCTCCTTGACTCCAGGTACTCTATGCATTCTACCACCTAGCTGCCTTTAAACACCAATGTTTGGGGTGTGTGTGTGTGTTTTAAAATTGCAGGTCCATCTACAATGTATCAGTATGCTTGTTTCAACCATATTTGCCATTCAACAACATTTGCTATTGATTTTTTTCTTCTTTGCCAGTTCAATTGGTGTGATGTGGAAGCTCAAAATTGCTCTAATTTTTATTTATCTAATTACTGCTGATTTGGAGCACTTTTTATATGGCTAGAGATGGCCTATGTTTCTTCCCTTGGGACCTGCCTGTTCATATCCTTATGCTATTAACAAATAGGGAATGATTTTTGTTTTTGTCAACTTAAATCAATTCCTTACATCATGGAAATGAGAACTTTATGCAAAATTCCTTCCCCAAGAAGCTCTGTCCAATGGGATGGCCGGGTGTTGGAAGAGGGGGGAAGTGATTTATGAAGCAAGTGTTGAGTGATGTCATGAAACCCAGCAGTCCCCCAGAGATCAAGTTGACTAACTTTCGTTTGAGAACAAACAAAAATGTGTTAAGATGACGTTTAGCTTTCTTTCCCAGGAAATCAGTGACCCAGAAATACTGGAACTTGTGCACAGTGCACTGGGAAGAATGACTGTGGTCCGGCAGATCTTCCCATCGGCAAAGGATAGCCAGAAGTGCACAAGGAACAACCATCGCATCTCCTCATTGCTCTGTGATCCACAGGAAGGCTATCTCCAAATGTTGCAGGTCAGTGACTGGCTTTATTCGTAGGAAGCTTATGAAGCAATCCTTGATAAATATGGGGAAATTTCAAAAGCAAGGATGGGATGATGTGAGTGTCCTAAAGACAGCACATGTTATATTTCAGCCCCAATGACATCATAGCACAACAGATAGAATACAAAGCTTAGAAATAGGAAGACCAAAGAAAAGACCTGGGTTCAGATCTCTCCCCTGACCCTTCCTACCTTGCAAGCCAGGATAAGTCCCTTACCCTATACATGCTTCAGTCACTTCTCCAGGAATTAGCTACCATTATATGACACGAAAGACAGATTGCATTCTGTATGGATCTATGTAATTCACCATGAATGTGAAATCACAGATTCCTCCCTCACAGAACTTTCTATTACTGGCACATGATCTCTTAGTTTACCATTGCTTACTAATTTATTTGAAATATTTCACTGACTAAAATTGTAAATATTTTTGATGAATAAAAAATCATCTATTAAGCAATTACTATGTGCCAAGTACTTGGCACTAAGTGCTAGACGTATGAAGAAGAAAAAGCAAAAATAATTTTGGACCTCAAGGAACTTATATTCTAATAGGAAGAGACCACACTTATAGGGAAATGGTAGCCAGGGAAGGATATTTTGGCTTCTACAGTGTTAGTGAGTTGATTTCTGGAGCCACAAGGGAACAGATTAATGTAAGCCTCACAGTAGCAGTGACAATGTTGATGTGTTTATTGGTCCCCAGATATGACACTGCCTATATATAAAATATTAGCAGGCAATTCTGCTGGTCATTAGAAGATGAGAGAATAGAAGCCCACCAGTATCTATTTAAATGTAATATGCTTTTCTGCAATCGGTTTTTCATTTGATACCTAGTCATGGTATGGAAGTAATTTGAGATTCTCAAAAGCCATTCCAGTTGCAGATACACTGTGGCAGCTCTTCCTAAGGGGGAATTGTATTAGGTTTGAACTGAGAGATGGGTTGCGCATTTGTCAATTGAGAGCCAGACTTATTAAGCACAAATGGTAGCCTTTGGGGAATTATTTTTGGGGTGTGTAGAGAAACTCATAAAGATTATTAACTAAGACTGAAGAGGTCACAAATTGTAGAGAAGAGAAAGGGGTAGAGAGAATACACTTGAGAATATCGGCTTCCAAGTCAAGGTCAGTACTTTGAACCTGCTCCAAGTGGCTGTCAAACAATTGGCATTGCTATCTGAACAGCTTAAGCACTGGGGACAGTTCAGAGACTAGTGTGCCATACAATTAAGGCTTCTGTCCAACTGGGACACTACTAACAGATTTAATCCATCTGACAGGTGGAGAGAGAGACAGAGAGAAACACAGAGAGACATAGAAACAGAGAAACAGAGACAGATACAGAGAGACAGAGAGACAGATAGATGGAGACGAAATCGTGATTTACTTTTGACTAAGTAGACAGAAAGCCACCTCCCTAATGCTTTTTCTTTGATATAGAGGTGGCCTCTTATTTTCCCTTGTGACCCTTTTTCTATTGGTAGGAGCTAAGGGGTGTGTGTGTGTGTGTGTCTGTGTGCGCGTGTGTGCGTGTGTGTGTGTGTGTGTGTGCGCGTGTGTGTTTTCTGGAGTGAAGTGGGGTATTTAATTATGTTCTGCCTGTTGTAATAATTAGAAAATAGCATGGAGTCTAGGAACTTGGATTCAATCCAACTTCCAATGCTTTTCACTTGTTTGACCTTCAGTAAATGAATGAATGAATGGAGCAAATGAATGAATGAGTGGATTGATTGAATGAAAAAACATTCTTGTTTCATTCACTATGCTAAATTCTAAGGATGCAAAAAAAAAAAAGACAGTCCCTGTCCTTATATTCTACTGGGGGGAGACAACAAAAATAGGGAATTGGCAGACATGATAGATCACCTGATCTAGAAATAACATGGATGGTTAGTAGGGCCAAATAAATTGATACACTTCAATCCAGGAACAATGGCAGAGTAGTTGTAACCATAGTTCATGATTCCAGGACTGGAAGGGTTGGAGAAGACAATGAAGCGAAGCGAGAAAATTGTCTGGTAGAGTCAAGTTCATCGAAGGAAAGATTGTGAAAGAGATGGCCAGAGAACAGGAATTTTAATGAATAGAGGGTGGGTGGTAGAATATTATATGGTCAGGCAGAAGAGGAAGAACCAACAAGATTGAGGAGAAATCATCCTCCCTTGGCTCTTTCTTCATCTGTGAAATATGCTGTTTGAACTCTGAGGTCCCTTCCAGGTCTCTGATCAAATGACGTCACCTGTTAACTATGACAGTGTGGGGTTGATGGTGGATCATGGACACAGTTAAAAAGATATCAGTTGTTAATTATGGCATACCTAAAGAAAAGAATAGTATAAGGATGCTATAAATCATGATTTATACCATCTTACCAAATACTTTGGAGGAATTAAGGACATCGCAAAACCATACTGACCATTGTTGTAGTTGTGTTTTTTCCTTCTTTCTCTTTCTTTCTTTCTTTTTTCTTTCTTTCTTTCCCTTTTTCTTTCCTTCCTTTCAAGATGGATTTATATACAGATCTACGGAAAGAAAAGATTGAAAAAACTCAGTCTCCACCTTATGGTTAGCGATTATAAGGGCGTTGGTTGCACTATCAGAAGCTTGGTTTTCTTATGGGGTAGTAGATAGGATATTGGACTTAGAGCCAGAGGATACGAGCCCGACTACTATTTACTATTAACCTTATATTCATAAGGTTGCAGGCTGGTAGTGTCCAAGAGCATTCTAGCTTCTATTCCCAGAATACTCCTAATGCAGTCTCTAAGTGACTCCCTTGAGTACATCACATAACTCAGGAACATGCTAAACCATGATATTGCTAGTGGCCGTAAGGCAGGATCTATGATGTCAACCTTTTCGTCCAAATTAATTTATCCATTCAGAATGAAATTAACAGCAAAGTGCTCATTTTCTGTTGTTGTACTTGTAAAATTGAAAAGCATGAGCAATCACCATTAGAGAATTCCTCTAATTGCATTTCTGAACACTGTCCCCACAGTCTGATAAATTCTAATATACCAAATTTACCCTTTAAAAAACCAACTTTGTCAAAATGATCCAAAAAAGATAGTAATATAACTACCATTTATATAGTACTTTAAGTTTCACAAGGATCTTTATATATATTATTGAACTTGAGCTTTAGGGCAGCCCTATGAGATAGGGGCTGCAAATACCATTGTTCCTTTTTTTTCCCCCAGTGAAGCAGCTAGGGCTTGGAAAGGTTGGGTTACTTGCCCCAAGTTACACAGCTAAAAGCCCTAAAGATTTTTTTGGGGGGGACTGAACCTATAATCTCTTTGGTTTAGTGAACTCCCAGTGGGGACACTCCCTCTTTCAATCCATATTTCCACATACTTTTAGGGGATGGCCTACTATAACCCTGTGTGGTTAAGTGATTTGCCTGGGGTCACACAGCCAATTTATTTCAAAGGAGGGACTTTAACCCAAATCTTCTTGACTCAGAGGCTGGTTCTGTATTCATTACACCATGGCAGTGCCTTTGTGGAAAGGAATTTTAATGAAGATCTTCCTTTCTCCAGGCCCAATCACTTCCCTTTACAACATGGGGAGAGAAAAGAATCAGCAATGGGAATAAAAGATGTCAGCTGAAAGACAGAGACTATATCTCTTCATAAAGTGATAGACCCACCCTTTGACAATAAAAATAATGGATATGAAGAAGTGCTTGTTCAACTAATTGTACCATGTTGTAGACGATTCTAGATGTAAGTTGATCAAAAATTTCATTTGGAACAGTTTTCACAACAGACTGTTGGGTCACGTACACAGAAATGCGTAGAAAGAGTGTGTCCTGATGGAGGATGGGGTGTCTTGTCTTGTCTTGTCTTCTGTCTTGGTCAGGGCACCCCTGTAACAGTTTGCCCTGTACTACAGCTCACATGTTAGGAAAAGTATTGGCAAACGTGTCAGAAGAAGAAGACCAGAAGTGATAAGAGACTTGAAACCATGCCACAAAAGAACCAAATGAAGGATCTAGGGATATTTTACCTGTAAAAGAAAAAGAAAAAAGGGGAAGCATGATTGGTATCTTCAAATATTAAAAGTTGATCATGTAAGAGATGCACTAGTTTAGTTTTACTCTAGAGGTTAGAACTAGGACCTGTTGATGGAAGTTAGAAGGATACATATTTTAGTTTCACGTAAGGGGAAAAACAACTTTGTAGCAATGAGAGCTATCTAGGAATGGTGCAGGCTATCTGTTCAAGGAAGGGATTCTCTGTTGGTATTGGAGGGGAATCTGGGTGAATACTTTTCAAGAATGTTGTAGAGGAGATTTATGCTTCAGGCAAGGGTTGAACCAGATGACCTCTGCACTTCCCCTAGGATACTGTGATTTTCTCAAACAGCAAAAAAAGGTTCTTTCACTGTGTTTGGGAGTAGACCAATGCATAAGGGGTAAAAAGTTTAGAAATGTTGTACTTGATTATTGTTTTGCTAAGCTATATTCAATACTGCAGACTTTGGAGTAAGCCTTTAAATTGCATTCATTTGAATACTGACCTTGGCTCAATTCTCCACTTTGCCAATCAGTGTCAACAGTGTGGAAACTATGTTATCTGAATAGCAGAATTCATTGACTTTCAGGCCAATGTTTCTCATTGCAAGATCAGGCTCTGGTTGGGAGCTCTTTGGATCATACAGACAAGTGGACTCAACCTTATTGCCCAGACATAGCAATGAATTGACTCTGCAAAGAGGTTATGGCCAACTCTAAGACTTCCTGGCTATGTCCTCTGTGATCAGGCAAAGCAAGAATGGGAATTCCCAGTTGCTAGTTTTCTCATCTCATAGGCTCATACATTGTCATAGCTTATTAGAGCTAGAATGAACTTTAGACATCTTTTAGTCTGACCCCCGCAATTTAAATTGTCTGCTCATTCCCACACTTTAAACAGCGTACCACTTGCATTATTGGCGCTCCTTTTTCATGACCAAG